CGTCGTCGACCACGAGTCTCAGAGCTGGATCGGGTCACTTCCCATCAATCAGCCCCTTGTTCCCAAAAGCCAACTGTCACTTCACCACACTGCCATGTCCTTCGCAAGAACCCGCGGTCCCTTGTGATCAGTATGACCGCACATCCCGTCCAAAAGCCCCGAAGTGTGAACGAGTCCGAAGATTCGGACTCTGACGCATTACCAGCGGGATGGCCAATCCCGTCCTTACGACTTCTCTCGGACGAGACGTCGGTAAGTAGTTCACCGGGATTCGAGCTGTTCAAGACCTCGAAGACAGCTAGAAGGGCGGGGGACTGGGTTGACATTTGGATGTGCACCTAGTAAAGCGACAGTTCAATCGTAGTGGAGTTCGTTTCACTAGTGTATACACCGGAGACCGAGGAAGCCGGATTTGCGAGTGCGTCGTGCGATGCAATCTCAATTCACATAACAGCAGAATGTGCACCGAGTTCAATTGCTTGTATGGAGCAGAGTGTGGCTACTCTCTTCAGGAGAGTAAGGCTCTCGAAATTAGCAGAGATTCCAAGACAGGAATGCGTGGTCTCGTTGCGACCCTCCGCTATCCCGGCTGGAGAGGTCGTAGGCCAATATTTTGGTGCGTTCAAGCTCATCGGGGCCCCCAGTAAGTTCGAGAGCTCCAATCGAGGCTACACTGTGCGGCTCAAGACGAAGACTAAATCCAATAAGCATGGTGTTGTCGATGCTCAAAAAAAAAAGGGGGGGCTAAGAGAGTTGTCGCCATTTGGTTAATTTCCCGTCCAACACTGAAAGGGTAAGTCCATCTAACTCGTTGCTGCTATTGCACTGCCATTGTTTCTAACTTGCTCATCTTCTATGTATTGTGCAGATAGCAAGGCCTACCACTGTGGCTTACCGGAAAAGCGCCCTTTCTAGGGAGACGGGGGTCCGACTCCTCCCGGTGGTCTATTTTAAGTTCATCGCAAAAAGGCGTCATTGTCCGAGAGGTCGCTCTTCGGTGGTCAAGACTCGGTTGCATGCTTCTTCAATATCTTTGGTGGCATCAATAGCATCGGTGGAGATCTCATAGGAGCGCAAAAGCATGTAAAGTGAGCCCCAATCTGGCCTGAAGCTGGAAACAAGGCTTGTTTCCATATTAATCCCAGGTTAGAGTCTCGCCTTCTGGAAACCTGCCTTTATCGTTGCCTCCAAAAGAGATGACAATGTGTCCTTGATCCGACGCACTAGGTTGGTTGGTGATGATGGCGTCATCTTGAACGTCACCGCCGCACCGGCAGCCCGAATTTGTTCTACCAAGAACTCTACCCACTCGAGGGGAAGTCGCGCCCTAAACGGCTGGTTTCACGCGACATCAGCAAGCTGGCAGACGTAGGTGTAGCCCGGAGGTACCTTTAACAGCTCGACATTCAGCAGCCTAGCGAAGATCTGTACGTCCTGGTGTCAGTGTGTTGAAAAGTCACCCCACAGCAGCAGCACGGGCTCATGCATGTTCGGCCTTCCGAGGAAATGATAGCTAAGAAATGCGATGGATAGCTTGCTGTTTCACCATGGCCTTGAGCCGCTACAGGTTGGGTGGGAATGTACTCGTAGTTTACGCCTGATACGTACAGCTAGTTAGCCCAGTATCACGATGCTAGAAATGAATGGAATTTACCGGTTTGGTCCGTGTTAAACATTTTTGTAATCTTGAGCTCTTTTAACTTTGCATACACCACTGCGCTGAACGCCTTTGATGTAGCAGCGGCATCGGCAGGGGTAGATTGGCCGACTCGCTTTCTGCTGCGTATGGCAAGCTTGTGGCGACGCATGAAGTGCTTTTGCCAGCTCCACGTAGCTGTGAAAGCACCATGTGGGAGTTGGCAGCCACGGTACACTTCTATAGCCTGTAGCTTGAGTATGAGGGATGTGACAGGCACTCCGTCAACACGACGGCGGTTGATCCACTCCACAAGCTGCTCCTCAGCGGCAGGAGGCAGTGTAGCGCCAATGCTACGACTTCGGTCGCGGTAGGGTAGGTGCGATCCGCTTGCACGCTTGGCCTCGACGGTGGCCCTGATTGCCTTCCAGGCGTAGCATTGGCGCTTTTTGCTTTGTAGTTGGTCCTTACTTAACCCATGGTACATCATTTCCTCCATAGTAGTCTTATCTAAGTAGACGAGAACCTCCATCTTGTGCTGGTATGAAACGGCTGTGCGCTTATAGAGCTTAGGCTTCGCTCCCTTGGCGGTCGTCATCTTTCTCCCAATCTTCGCCATTCTTTGAGTATCTGAAAATGCAAAAATATCATCTGGAATGGGTGGTCGGCTCGTGAAATATGATATCGACTGTGCTGTAAAATACATGGATAGCTGTCCGAGAAAGTGGTTTATGATATCGAGTTTAGAATAAAAGACGGTATGATTTATAAATTCAATTCTTGACACCTGGGTTAATGTGTCGCTCTGATGGGCTAACAATCTGTGTGCATTATGATAAATGTATGAATTATGATTTCAACGATGCGGTATTTGCACCTCGGTTGCTGTTCTTAGCCAACTCTTTCCTAGATCTCTCATCTCCTTTGCCTCTCTTCTCAAGTCTTCATTTTCAAAAAGAAAGAAACGAGGAGAGGAAGTCCAAAGAGCCATGGTCGGGGTAAAATCATGACTGTATTGCATTCGAACTGATTCTACTGACATAAGTTTTCGTACTGTGATGTATCTGTCCCGATAAGAAGGGAGGCGACAAGGATATCAAAATTACGATATACAGGAGCAAATCTTGTTGTGTACTATTGTTGATAAGTACAAACCAACAGGGCGCAATACGCGGGAAGCCGCGGCGCGAGAATACAACTCGCTACGAGCTCGCACTTGGTTTGACAAAGACTACGACTCCCTTCGCCGGAAGTTCCGTAGTCTCTATGCAAAAACCGAAGCCTTCAGGAAACCAAGGAGACGAGGTTCCTGAGAGGCTGAAGCCGGTGCTCGATATTCAGTTCGCAATCGAGGCGAAAGGAGGAGCCGTGACTTTTCACGATGGAGCTGACAACGGAGAAGACGACGCTCAGCTTCGTCATGATGTAGTTCAAGCAATCAGTGATCGAGGCCCCCGAGACTTGGATTATTCACCAGAACCTGCACAAGACAGCGACGGTGGTGGCCAGGGGGAGCTCTCCAAGTCAGCGAACGGCATGCTGGAGGGTGAGCCCCTCCGTAAACACGGAACTCCAGCTTAACCTGGCCTGCACGAGGTGATCGAAGATGCGGAGGGCGCAGATCAGCCCAATCAGGCTGGTACACTAGGCTCTGCGATTACTAGTCAGGGTGTCTTCGATGTCACCCTTGCCGATGATGTCTGGTCGGCTGACGACAACGAAGAAGAGGAACAAGTGGCTCGTGTGGACACTGGTAACACTCCCACAACACCTTTTCATAGTACTACGCGCTCTCGTACTTCGATTAGCGGGAGTTCTGCCACGCCCAGATTGGTCGGTTGTCCCCAAACGCCATCTTCGAGCGTCGGCCCGCAACGATTAGGTCTAGAGGGGCCTGTCTTAACGAGAAACCCACAACGCTTTCAGCAAGACGTTGAAGAGGAGGCTCGCACCAGCAAAAATGTGGCAGGTAATTGTCTTGGATGGCAGAATCTTTGGATCCTGTGGGACAACCTTGGCGACCTCGATCGACCGACCTCTGGTTCGAAAGCCAAACGCACAAGCTCTGACGGTGCGTCAAATGGAGGGACGTATACGGCGACTAGGCGAGCAAGGGCGAGGAAAAGAATGGATAACATGGAAAAGGAGGCTACAGAGAACAAGCGGCCGTTCATAATGTTCTTGTGGGTCTTCTTATTTTCCTACGTGAAGAAACAAATTGACGCTCCGAAGAAGAAGATAGACGCCGCCGTGAGGACCGGGATGAACGTCTCGTCTGTGATAGAGTTGAACGCGAGGAAAGAGACCGCGTGCGACGTGAAGAACTGGTAGCCCAAGAGTCCAGACGCCAACGGGAACTGGAAGAAGCACGAGATCGACACGAGGAGAGGTTGGCTCAAGATAGAGAAGAGGCTCAACAACGTCACGAGCAGATGGTGGTGCTTATCGCTTCTCCCCAATGAGGAAATGCCGGTGGAAACTAGGCTGTAGTCGCTAAACAACCAAATCAATACATTTTTTATCCAGGGTTATCTTGTCGGTAATGGAAATGTGTGGTTCGAATTTGACTTATTCCTACTGTTCGAATTCGGTAATTCGACATACGAAACAGGTTCTCGAGGCGCTGACGTCTCTTCTCATTGTCGTGGGGCAGAGGTAGTAGTAGATGGTTGATTACTTTCTCAATGACGCCCATACCCCATTACGCAGACTGGCGGAGAAAAGTTACTGCCCCCGATAGGACATTAGCATTTCTCACACTGATGGAACGAGCCTTGCAAGGTTGCCATCCTTCAACGGGGTCAAAACCGTTTCCGTCATCCCTGCGCGGCAGGAAAAGCGCTATCAGTAACCACCCTGTAGCGAGTGTCAGAATTTAGAACCAGATCCATGAGCAAGCACCGGAATCCAAGGCTCGTATCTCCATCATTCCAGCTTCCGGGATAGTTGTGCTTCGACCACACGATGAGCCCGTCAGCTCCGAAGCACAGCGTCCCGGTGACGAAAACCTGGTGAAGCTATCCGTTGTAGTGCGCGTTTTGGTCATCTGGTCTAGGAGGTTCCTGAACCCAATTACAACAATAAGCCATGTTTAGTAAACTTATTAACCCCCCCCCCCCCCCAACCCGGCTGATTTTCACCTGTTTAAGCTGCATTATGCAGCACCGTTACACTTGGTATTTGTATGTAAACTGCAGGAAGGGTTTGGTAAGTGTGCACACACTTGGAGGATAGACGGGTTGACAGACGCTTATACTGCATATCGGCGCAAGAGAAAACACTGACAAAGCTATGATGTGCTGCATAATGCTGCTAACAAAGGTACACAGACGAAACGACGTCCTGCAGGATTTGCAAGTTTATAGAGATGTCAAAGTCTAGTTTTATGGAAAACGCCACCCATACTAAAAATAAATGAAAGGAGTTCGCAATCGAATGATTATTTGGAACAGATGAAGGTTGTGCAATACAAAATGTAAGATAACGAAATAGACGGAGTAACGCAATGTTTTTGTCGAATTACTGTCGGTCAAACAATCACTGAGCACGCAGCATTGAACAATATCCTGCTGCATTATGGAGCCTACTGCTCTTGGTCGGGCATGCCGCCAGTCCGTCGCTTTTTGACAGGTGTTGGAGTCCGTTCACCAGCTGCTCTCTCCTCCGAAGGTGATCGCTGTGGTTTGCGATGGCGAATGCGTCCAGCCAGCTCCGGTGGTATCAAACACCCATTCTTCCAGTCACGATGCCAGATATCCCAGCACGTGACGGCAACTCCGCGAACTTTTCGGTGGGGCCGGAGACACAGGAAGATAGGACCGTCATTCCTGCACTCTGAACAGTAGTAGGTAGAAGTTTTGGCTCGCTTCCCTTCCTTCAGAGCTGAACAGACTTTGCATGCAGCACGGTAGCGTTTGTTTTGAGTGTCTTGGTTCCGAAATCGCTGTAGCTGCTGGACGACGTGTGTGCTGCCAGAGCCGACAGCAGGGACCAAACGTTCCAGCCGCTCTGGTGTCACCGACGTCTGCACGCCAAAACGATTGCCCTCGTACATGTCTGTAGATTGCAGTTGACAGAGCTGCAAATGCAGAGTTTTCATGTAGACAACGTGCGACATTGGCTTTGCTTGTTTCTGCTTGTAGTACTCCTTGTGGACAATATAGCCGTTCACTATTGCCATATCTATCAACCCCAGTGCCAGTGACTTGTAGTACTTCTTGAATCTCACTGCACGCTGCAGCGAGTAGCGCTGCAGCCGCAGCTGGTCGTGCACGTCCACGCCCCCCATGTAAGCATGGTAGTCTTTGATTACACGGGGGCACGGAACTTCGTGCTGTTCACCACCGCCGTCTCGACGCACCACTCGGTCAAGCTCCAAACTGCCTCCCGTGCTCAGAAAATGGACAGGTCTCGAATCCCACCACGATATGGCGGCCATGCTAGGTACCAGTTTAGATTTGCTGACTTTGAAGGAGCCGCGCTCAACATCTTTTGGCCTCGTCTTCTTTTTCTCGACCACGGCTTTGCAGTAGCCGATGCGATTTGTCATGATGGTGCCAACGCAGTAAAACCCCATGAGCAAGAGTTGAATTGCCAGAGCCACTGACGTATAGAATCTGTCGACAACGACAAGTCGCATGCCTTCCTTTCCTGCATTTGGACCAAAAACTGCCAGTAGGTTGCGAACGACTGCGGCTGGACCGGATTTCATATCCGTCTTGTGAGCGTCACTCGCGTGTTGTTTCTTGCCACAGTAGACTTCAAAACTGTCGATATGCAGCATTGCAAGTAGGAATTAGCTAGTTTAGTGATGAATAATGCAGCATTAGGAAAATAGAGAGCCAAAAAAAACTCACCGTATGCAGTATGCCGATACGGCACTGCACAGCATAAAAAGCTTCGTGCCCCACTTGTGGGGCTTGTCCTTGAGGTACACCCTCATTTTGTTGAACGATGAGCGGTTGGGCAAGATTGCCTCGTCGAATGCAAGATGTGCTGGGGCAATGTAACTTCGCTCGAACGTCGTCTGTAGCACTTCAACCAGTTTTCGTATTTTCCAGGCTCTATCTTTCTTGGCCAGTTCATGGTTGTTTGGATTGAAGTGCAGGTTTCTTGAAATCTGCTGAAAGCGGTCACGACTCAGAACCGAGCCGAATGTACCCCGAGGAATGCCTCCCTCGTCAGTGGTTTTCCAGTGATGAGCAAATTTTTCACGGTTTGGCATGATTGCACGCGCAATCAATAGACCGAAGAAGCGACAAACCTATTGTGGTAGGATAGCCTTCTCCGTTTCTAGCTCGTGTTGAATTTCACGTCTGGTTTTCATCGGTAGGGATGGGTTAGCTCTTCTCTTTTTCTTGTAGCGCTTTTGAGCCTCTTCAACACACTGGGGAACCATCTCGTTGCGGTATTCATTGGAGCAGACAGCAATGTGCTGCCAAAGTGGCACAGGCATGAAGTGAAAGAATAGCGCTATCGGAGAATCACCACAACGGAGCGCATCAGGACTCGCACCTGAATAGCCCTGACGCAATCCAGGATAGCTGGACTTGTTGTCGACTGGCTCGTACGGTGACTGCATGTAGTTGTAAGTAGATGGTTGCTCAATGTCTTCCCACCCACTTGTAGACATCTCACGCAAGAGCGTGTCCTGGAGGTTTCCCGCCAGCACGGCTTCTTCACTGCCAATGTTCTCCAAAAATTGCTCGGCAAATTGAATCTCATTGGCTATCTCTAACTCCGTCGCTTCAGGTGCGTATGTATCTTCATCAACATCCAGAACGTCCGGGATAATTTCTCCATCTTCTCCAGTATCAAGATCATCAAGAGCAGCTTCATCACCGGAATCCATCGCACCATACTGTGCCGCGTTTTCATCAGGTGCCGTGTAATTCAAGTCGTCGTCTTTATCCAGCATGACGTCCGCTTCAGGTCCTAGATAAAACCACATAATGCAGACCTTGTTAGTATGACATTCAGCATAACATGCATCACAGTATGCAGCATAGTATGCAACACAGTATGCAGCATAGCATGCAACACGGTATGCAGTGTAACGAACCTTCTTGGGCATCATCATCTTCATCAGAATCTCCGGTCCAGTCGATGCTCTCGTCTCCATCAGCAGCTAGATCATCTCCTGTGTCGTCGCACGCACTACTGGCGGTGTGCGGAGATGTAGCAATGAGTAGTCGTCGTGACGACGGCGGTCGTGATCCCGGACTCCTCTGCTGCTGATGACGCTCTCGACTTGAAGTCGTGCGTGGGGAATCAGGCACAGGCGTGCTTGAAGCAGTCTCTGCCGCACCGATCCGTTTGGGACTTGGAAGGCGCTGGGGAGTGGTAGGGACACCGTGTCTCTCTTCATCCGCGTCGCTCGTAGCAGGAGGTTGGGTTGCAGCATCCGCATCGCGCTCTCTTTCATTAACCCCGCCAGTCTCTGGTGCCGTCGACGTAACTTTCACAGCTTTCAAATATAACGTTAATTCACATACTCGCACGGCTTGATCATGCATTTCAAATACCTTGTATATAGAAGTCGAGCACAGCATCAGGCCCTAGAAAGAAGTCAACGCCTTCCGTTCCGTTCGGGTCCGCGCCTGGGCGGATGTAGCGATACCGATTATCAAGGCTGCGCGATGGGGCCTTTTTAGACGTCCATCCATTTGCCTTCAACTCTTTCCACACCGACCTGAAGGACAAGTCGCGGGCACGAAGGACTGGCTTGCCGAGTGGAGCCGGCATGTTAGACTTGAGAAGCGCTGGAAGCTCGCCTTGGGCAGAAGCGGGAAATTTCTGAAATGAGACGGATGGTGTTGCGAGCGTCCCCTGTTCAATTGCATGTTGACTGTTCAAAAGAATATTTTGAAAAAAATAAACGTCGATTTATGTTCATACTATCTACACATCATGTGCATCAAATCTGTGGAAGATGTTTGCCCATGTTTTTTGTATCTTATTTTTTGTATGCCCCCGGTTATGGCAGCATTCTTTCACATACAAAATCCAAGTCTAAATAGCTCTTATGCTGCATTATGCAGCCTTATAGACAGGCCTATGCTGCATTATGCAGCACGCCGGTCTGGAGGGGTTAAATAAGGCTAAATAGAGGTTAAAAAAACACCCGATAATTCTTGCCACCCAGAAACCTCCATGTGAACTAGAGAAGAGGCTCTCTCTGCGCTATCAACACAGCTAACGCCTTCTGGCGCTCCAGACTAGGATCCGAACTGGGCTGAAGTTCCTAAGAGCTTGAGCAAGCGCGTCCTCAGCACTCTGGCTAGTGTCGAGGTGAAATTCCAAAATCTTTACAACGCAAGGCTCTCTGCATTGAGCTTACATAGAATGCGAGCACAAGTCCCAGAACCTTGTGATGGTTCTGGAGCTTTCTAGGGCGGCCTCCTTCTTTGATAAGTAGGAATAGTGTAAAACGGAACAAATCTGTCTAGAAGCTGACAAAAAAAGTCTCTGCATCGATCAACACGTTGAGTGTGACGTTTAGCGGTGTTTTGTTTGAAAATGCATCTTGCTGTGCTTGATTACCGAGTAAGACTCTGCGACGTATTCTACGTCAAGGCTCGTGCCTCTAGCGTCTTGCGCATGAGGAGGCACGTAGCCTAAACGATGATTGGCTTACAGGCACGATTCCTGCAAGGTGATTGGTGGAAGGAGTGACGTTCTACTTCTTGATTGGCTAAAATGATTTTACTTCAACTTGTTGGATTTATTAGTCTGTAGTAAGGACAGTTAACTTTAATTCACTTTCCAATTTGCCTTCGTGTTGCTACGCTTCCTCTATACCATTACAGACTCGTCATTGTTAGGAAGTTCTTGTCTGTGCCCCGATCCACCCAGGACTCCATCTCGGAATCCTTGAGGCAGTCTAGCGTTATATAGTACCGCATACGTACCATGCGGTTCCATTCGTAGCGGCGGATCTCACGACGCAGACGGCGCCGGAAGCTCTTCTGATACGCAGCCTCTTCTCTACTTCTACGGGACATCATGTACCAGACCAGCACAATGCTTTCGTCCGTCATCTTAGGATGGCGGGCTCGCTGCTGGGGGGGGGGGAATATGACTGAGGACGACACGATCAAGTTGCAACTTAGAAGGATTGCGGATTTACATAATCTTTAAGTGAGGACTCTTTTTCAATAATTTGTCCTATTCTTGATTATCGCATTTCTAAATGAATACATAATAGCGGAGTGGTTGGCTAGAAACTGACTCTTGACCCATGAACACAGTAATAAGGATGCCATCTTTTGGAGGGCCATACGATTAATTTTCCCAATCAAATTCTCGCAATGTAATATTTTATTGTGAAAACCAACCCAGTCCAATTTATTTACTAATCGACCGATTTAGAGCGCTAATAAGACCGATTATATATATAAAAACGAACTGCAAGTTATTTTTAGTGACCAGTTATCTAAATTAATGCCCGTTTTAAATAGTCCCATTTCGTTTATATAACCATAGTTTTCTCCGAATGCCCATGCAGAACTGGGCAATTCAAGCACCTGGAACATATATATACACGCAATGGAGAAATTCCAAAATCGCTAAAAGCCGCACTTGCTGGCCCGTATGCTAAGCAGTGGGAGGCTGTACTGCAAGTTGAGTAAAATGTCCTCCTAGAAAACGGGGCATGGGAACTGTATGATGTGCCTCAACGCAGGCATGTTTGGGCTGCATTCACAATTTGATGTGAAATACAATGTCAACAACACC